TTGGGTTTCAAAATTCAGTTCAAAATTGAATGTTATTGCTCTGATGTGGGGTTGGGGGAGGAAAGGGGGACCAAAACACAGCCAGTGAAAAAAAATAGGGTTAAAAATGGAGCAGAAAATAGGCAGATTGAAAAACAAAGACAGAGAGCATGTGAGAAATGGAACAGAGGAAAATAAATTCTAATGAGGGGGGCGGAAATAAACATTCTATAAAGGGCAGTCTAGCATTGAGACATTGTTTTCTATCACTAACTCGTAGCCGAGGCCTCCTTTTCATTTGAAAAACATGTGGTTTTGCTTTTTTAAAAATTGAATAAAATAAGTTAAAATAACAGGAAGAAAAGGCTTACAACTCCTATTTTGCAAACCTAATAAACAGTTCATAAAACTTTAAGTTCCATGACGTTTGCTCATTTCTAGTGTGACCAGGGCCGGCTCTAGGATTTTTGCCGCCCAAGGCAAAAACAATTTTGGCCGCCTCGCCCCCGTTTTTTAATTACCCCCACCCCCGGCCCCGCCTCAACTCCGCCCCTTCCCTGCCTCCTCCCCCCAGGCTCTCAAGCCTGGGAGGGAGGGGGAGAAGCGGTGCCTGCGCCACGGCCACTCGGAGTCTCCCCCTCCCTCCCAGGTTTGAGAGCCTGGGGGAGAGAGGGAGAGGGAGGGGGAGACTCCGAGTGGCAGCGGCGCGCGAAACGGCTGTTTTGCGTGCCGCGGCTGCTCGGCATCTCCCCCTCCCTCCCAGGTTTGAGAGCCTGGGAGGGAGGGGGAGACCCTAAGCGGCTGCGGCGCGCGAAACAGCTGATTCGCGCGCCGCTGCTCCCCCTCCCTCCCAGGCTTGAGAGCCTGGGAGGGAGGGCGAGTAGCAGCGCGCGAGCGGCAGCAGCAGCAGAGGTGAGCTAGGGTGGCCGGGGCACATTTTTAGGGGTGGCATTCTGGCGCCGGCTATGCCGCCCCTAAAAATGTGCCGCCCCAAGCACCAGCTTGTTTTGCTGGTGCCTAGAGCCGGCCCTGAGTGTGACAGACCCAGACCAGTGGGGTACAGGAGTCTGGTAGAGGGCAAATATACTGGTCACTGGATGAGTAGTTTTCTGTTTCCTGAGTGACCAGACCAGGGGCTGTACTAGAGTAATCAGGAACCTGCTAGACCAAGTTAAGGCAGGCAGGCTAATCAGGACACCTGGAGCCAATTAAGAAGAAGCTGCTAGAATCAATTAAGGCAGGCTAATCAGGGCACCTGGGTTTTAAAAGGAGCTCACTTCAGTTTGTGGTGTGAGTGCGAGGAGCTGGGAGCAAGAGGCACAAGGAGCTGAGAGTGAGGGTGTGCTGCTGGAGGACCGAGGAGCACAAGCGTTATCAGACACCAGGAGGAAGGTCCTGTGGTGAGAATAAGGAAGGTGTTTGGAGGAGGCCATGGGGAAGTAGCCCAGGGATCTGTAGCTGTCATGCAGCTGTTACAGGAGGCACTATAGACAGCTGCAGTCCACAGGGCCCTGGGCTGGAACCCAGAGTAGAGGGTGGGCCTGGGTTCCCCCCAAACCTCCCAATTGACCTGGACTGTGGGTTCTTCCAGAGGGGAAGGTCTCTGGGCTGTTCCCCAACCCACATGGTGAATCTCTGAGGCAAGAAAATCCGCCAATAAGCGCAGGACCCACCAAGATAGAGGAGGAACTTTGTCACACTAGTTACTCTGTTCCTAAGCAATAGCAATGACTGTATTTCTGAGGTGGGTGAAGTTGGTTCTTATGTTTTATTAAATGATTTGGGAACTTTTGGAATGAAAAGAGCTATGTGAGATTCTATTGTTGTTACTTAACTTATTACTCTGCTGAGTTTCAAAAAGGAAGTGGTGGCTTTGTTTGTTTTTGCTTTTAGGTTGAATCCAAATGTGAAATATGGCTCTGGCTTTACAGGAGTGCCAAAAATTTGGCATTCAAAGTACTGTAAAACTGCCACAGTTTTACAGTGTAGTGGATTAGGACAATTGCAAAAAATTCAAATTGTCTGCAGCATATTCTTTTTCTTAGAAGCATTCCATTGTGGGACAGTGTGAAACGGTGGCGATATAATTGGCTTTTAATATGCTGAATGGGAATTTGAAATAATGGTAATCAGGGGGGCAAACTGGAAAAGAAAAGTAGTGGTACTCTTCCAAGTTATTGCTTACAACCCAAGTACCATCAACCGGAGGCACTAAAATGAGATGCACCACTTACACTAGATAGCTTTCATAGTCTGATCATTTTTCTTATTCCTTGCATACTCTGCATGCAGTGATGTCAGGTTATCTTTATCTGTGTTCATTCTTGCATGCTTTGATTAGCACTGTGATAGTTAACAAAGTTCATGTTTAGGCTGCAGCTCTATTGTTTTAGTCTGTCTACAAATTCAGGCAGACATCAATGTATCAGTGCACAGTTTATGGTTGCAAAGAGAATCTTCAAAGTGGGAGAAAATTACTTTTTTTTTTTAAATGAAAGCTTTGATTTTTGGACACAAGATTGCATCCTCCAAAACAGTAGCAGCATGCCGAGCTGCGCTGAGCTGGCCCACTTCACCCCTGTTTGTCATATCTGAATGGATATAATCAAGGATATAATCAAGTTCACCAACAATTTGAGTAGGATGCAGCTCACAAACAGACCTATTTAACACTCAACAGCATTACATACAAATCCATAGCTCAGTGTTTTGAGGGAAAGATGTGAACATATTTTTTATTTTCTATGAATATCTGTTCTTTCTCCTCTTTATTTTATGTACGAATTCAAAACCACATTTTTAACACAACAAACAGCTTGAAACATGGAGATAAATACAATGCCAGTTTCTTAGACATCTCAATGTAGTGAAGAGAGAGAGAAACCAATTCTACACTACTGACTACATACAGCAGTATATTACTTGGAAATTATTCATTTACTTCTGCTGAGAATATTATTTGAAAGCCAAGAGCACTTACCTGGTTAATAAGGCTGTTTACCATGTAACCTGTGTGCCTTAATGTGCAAGTATGAATCATTTATAAAATCTTTAAAAATATTTCACAGTGGTAAAGATCAGAAGTATGGTTTAAGCATTCAGATCAGAGTTACATTGTATTGGAGAGAATTGATAAATAACATTTGTTTCAAGAGAATTTCTATGTATTTTGTATATCATCAATCTCTCTATAAATTCAGACTGGAATTTCAAATTCAGACTAGACATAAGGCACACATTTTTAACTGTGAGGGTAATTATGCATTGGAAAAATTTACCAAGGTTGGAGAGTCTCCATCATTAGCCATTTTAAAATCAAGATTGGATGTTTTTGTAAAAGATCTGCTCTAGGAATTATTTGGGGGAAGTTCTGTGGCCTGTGTTATACAAGAGGTCAGACTAGATGAGCCCAGTGGTTCCTTCTAGACTTGGAATCTACGAACCTTTTAATGAAGTACATATAGATATGTTATTTTGTAAATGGTCTCTTTTTGTTCAGTTCATGTTGTTGTACATCTTTATAACTTCCAGGATATGTTTTGTGTCCTCTAGTAGGTTATATTATGCAACCAATATATTATTTATTCCTTTGGACTGAATGTAGTGCTTATAAAAAGAGCCCGATTGTCAGACCTGGAAACTGAAGTCCTATATCCACAGAACATGTACAGCAAGGGCAATAGTAGTGGATGCTTCTCCTCACTGCCCTACCAATTTACCGCAACCCTAGAAAAGACAACTTCTAGGTGTGAGATGATTCAGTCTCCATACTTAGTAAAGCCTGGGTGTGTCTACTGTGATGATTGTAACTGGGTGGGGTTGTTTTGTTTTTGTGATATGGACATCTGTGTAGTGCTATTAATCTTACCAACTCATTTCACTTAGCAAACAGATGATAATAGCAGACAACCAAAGCAGAAGATCATTCTCTAAGACTTTTTGATACGAGGGACTGGCTTATTGCCTTCCTAAACTGTGCCAAGGAGATCTCAGGGACCGGTGCCAGTCCATGGACTGGTCATTGAGAAACCCTGCTCTAAGCAACTACTCTGTTTCAGGCCAGTGACATAGAGCCTAATCTGGTTTTACACCCGTATATCTACATTGAAGTTAGTTATTTCTGCTTTACATCAGTATAACTAAGTCAGAATCAGGGCCATAGGAGTTGAAAGGCTGTGCATCTCATTAGCATATCCCCTGACTACCCAGACAATGTGCTTTTTATTTTACCATTTATTTATTTTATTTATCTATTTCCTTGCTGACACATTCTTTTATTATTTATTATTATTATTTTATTAATTAGTTATTAATTTGAATTGAAGTATCACTCAGAAGCCACATTCATATCAGCTCCATCGCACTAAGGGATGTACAACTGCATAGTAAAAGACAGACTGCAAAGTCTTCGGTGAAGGGACTAACTTACTACAAAAGAAAATTGTTGCATCCAGGAGCTGCAGTTAGGCTTTCACAAATACTTGCTAATATTAGGGTGACCGGACAGCAAGTGTGAAAAATCGGGACAATGGGTGGGGGGTAAGAGGAGCCTATATAAGAAAAAGACCCCAAAATCGGGACTGTCCCTATAAAATCGGGACATCTGGTCACCCTAGCTAATATATTTGTAGCACTGTGTCAGGCAAAAGCATAGACTCAACATTTACAAGGTGCTTAGTTGCTCCAGAGCTCATGCAACATCTGTTCTACCATGAAGTTCATAATGTTCTAGGTTCTGGTGATTAGAGCCATTATTGCATACTATTAGTCAGTTTTACCATTGTGCCATATTTTCTAAATGGAAGGTAAAAATGATAACTAGTATATGTAGATATGAGTCAGACATGAAAACAAGGAACTAACTTTTTTTTTAAAATTCAGACCATCTAGAACCCAGCCCTAAAGCCTCCTAACATATCCTGTTATCTGATTTTCTAAATACTTTGGTTTACTAACAGCAATATTTAATTATTGTTTTCATGCAGAGTATAGTTCTCCTGTAACCTGTTTATTTTTTTCAGGGTTTGTGGATTTAACACTCCATGATCAGGTACATCTACTGGAATGTGCCTGGTTAGAGATACTGATGATTGGCTTAGTCTGGCGTTCAATGGAACATCCGGGAAAACTCTTATTTGCACCTAATCTATTACTGGACAGGTTAGTCCACTTATTATTTATTTTTGTTTGTTTGTTTAAATGAAATGTATCTCTACCACTTTTAGTCATTTTTAGCCTCCAGCCATCCCACCTGATGCTGAGATCCCATCACATTTCATAAATTAAGCAGCACTGGCCTAGTTAGTATTGAAAGAGGTACCTCTAAAGAACGCCACCGAAGGTGTTGTTGGAAGTGGTGTTGGTGATTCAATAAATGGCACTTTTAGTTGTGAGCGAATATGGTGTTAGAAGGTCCTCTCCTGCTGCAGGTGCTTACTTTCAAAGGAGACAGAAAACGAAGATACGTGCCATTTGTAGTCCTTAAAGAGTCCATTGTGCTTTTGGCAAGGGTAAGGATACGGAATCCAGTGTCCTGACCAGAAGCCATATTGTTTATTATTTCTGCCTCCTTAAAAATTCTCCCCTGCAGTTTCAGCCAGTTTTATACTAGTGCTATGTGCAATTAAACAGCTGCCACTTGCCATTTTAGAGGAGACTACTTTTCCACTGTAGAAGAAAACCATATGCTAGACCTCACTCTGCTTTGTGATAGTCTGGTTATACCAAGCCACCCAAAAGCTGGCTTAATTGATCGCTTGAGGACTCATTCAGTGTAGGGGAACACATGGGTGGTACAGCTGCTGCAGCATCTCTTATGTTTTCTTCTTCTTTACCCCAGGTGTGGAAGGCATGTTACATAAGAGTACATGGGACTGGGGGTTCCTCCAGCCCAGCCAACTATGACTGCCAAATGTCTCCTTGGGCAGCAGAATAATTAAAACAGCTCACTGGATGTTCTGATTTGTTCCAAGGGTCTGAGCTGTAAAAGTGGTTTAAAGCAGGCCCCACCCTGTCCCCCTCACACACCTTTAATCTCTTGTTCTGGGCTCATCTTGGCTGTACTGGAGGGTCCGATCCAGGAATGCTATAGAAGAAGAGATCAGTGCTCTGTCAAATCCAGTATCCTGAAACTTAGTGTCTCTTACTACATACTTGAAAGGGAGATGAAAAAACAACTATCTACATGTACAATATGGTTCTATGAAAGTGGGGAATTTCTTGTTGATTTCAGCTGGCATTCATTTCATGCACTGAAGCATGAGAATTGACATATCTTAAAACGTATCCTAGCTAATGTACTAGAAATGCAAGTGCTTTCCTTATATTCACGAAAACAATCATGTTTCAACCCCAAAGGAATTTTTTGAGAAAGATACAAAGAGCTAAAAAAAGTGAATGAGAAGAGAAACAGTCTCTCAAACTTATAATAGTCACCACAACTAACATTATAATATCCATGTCATGTTCTGGTGAGCAGATCAGACCATTGAAAGGTTGTGTCACACCTTGCATTGTAAACCGAAGTGCCCCAAAATGCTTCTGCTAGTTTTGGCTCCCTGCCTGGGTCACACACACAGCCAGCAGCCAGCATGCGCTTCATGTTCTGTGTGCTTATACAGTTCTGATTCAACTACTTGGAAACCAACAGCCTGCCAGCAGTTATCACAGACACACTCTTGTCTTTACCCGACTTGGTTGATGTTAACAGGTGACCCCAACACTTTCCCAGACCCGTGTGTTCTGCAATGTCCAGCCCTCTCCTGCAACATTCAGAGGAATAAAAAGATCTGTTGTCTCTTTTAAAGAGACAAAACCCAACAGCTTGCCACATTGACTGGAGTTAACATTCATTTTTACTTAAAGATAGTGCTGTTCATTGAGATTAATAGGAAAACAAGTTGATGAACAACAAGAAGGAAGGATTTTAAGTGACCAAGTACAAGAGAGAAAGTTAGAAATGGTTGCAAGCAATGAAAAGTGAAAACATGCATCGAAAAGTCTAAAACTTAATTTAACAAAACACAGGCTTTGGCTTTGTTCATGATGGACTTTCTCACCCATAGTGTTCCAGCAAGATGGTGGCTGATTTCCCCACCCTAGTCAGGATTTCCTCCAGAAGCTACAAAGTGCTGGTTCCTTTTAGGGTGACCAGATGTCCCGATTTTATAGGGACAGTCCCAATTTTTGCATCTTTTTCTTATAGAGGCTCCTATTACCCCCCACCCCATTCTGATTTTTCACATTTGCTGTCTGATCACCCTAGTTCCTTTGTCTTTTTAGGTGAAAGAGATCACTTGGTGTTTTCTTCCCCTTCCTTTTATAGTCCAGTGAACCTTTGAAATGGATTGTTTTGAAGGTTATCCCTCAAAGTAAAGTTTATTCAATCTATAAGGAAGATGACATGGGGTCTGGTGGTGAAGGAAACTCAATGCTGTTCCCCCTCTCCCCATTAATGTTTGCTAAAATGCAGATTGTTCTGTTTCCTGCATCTCCTCCCTCTGCTGTCTTGATAGTCCTGATTACTGCTTGCATGTAAACTGAGGTAAACGCACATTCCTTTGTTTAATACAGACCTGTTTACTAACTCCCCTTGACATGCCTGGTGTTTAAATACACTTTAGTCATAATTCTGGAATATATCCATAACTCTTAATAGACAAGATTATTAATGATCAGTGAGTTATTAGTTTTCAAATGATACTTCACAAGGAATATTTTGTACGGAGATATTACAATACTGTGTAGGGTGTGAATACCTGGGTGCTGGATTGGGTCACTATCCACCAAAACTATTTAAAGAAAAGCTTGCTAATGTATTTTCCTCAATAATTTTCTGTGCTGATAAGTTCCACAGGCTTATTCCATATTGCATAGCAAATTATTCGCTTCATCCAATTGTTGCATGCCTTTGGAGCAGCCTTGCTCTGTAAAGTTTGATCCAACACGATTGGTGCAAGCCAGAGGATTAGCACTGAGCAATCTGCAAGAAACAAGGTTTTGTTTTTTGTACTTTTAAGCAGCAGCTCAAGCTAATATATAACAGTATAATAACTACTCTGAAATAGAACAGGAAAAAGATATATTTATTGCCTCAGAAAAAGCCCTATTCTGCTTAAGTTTCCATTGAAGCACATAATCTTTCTGTGTGCTTTGGCATTAGGAAATGTATAAAACAGTTTCTCTGTACAGAGCAGGAATTTCTCTGTTCATTTAAACTTAGATTTCCACCAGTGCTTATACTGGACAAAAAAATCAAGAAAACAGAATAAAATTTTAAAACAGTCTTTAAGTCTTTGCACAGTAGCAGTATAATTTATTACTTCAGGAAAGAAAATACAGAATATTATTGGAAAATACAACATAAAGTACATATCTACCTTCCAAGGACCAATGTGCTCTACGTTTGATATTTTTCTAAGAAAATTGCAGAGAAACATTTGCAAAATAGAGAGCAGAGCCAAAGTACTTCTTTTATTTTAAAGAATCCTTATTGAGGTTGCAGGAACAAACCATCCCAATGTGTAGAAAGAATAGTAAATATGGCAGGTGACCAGCTTGGCTTACTAGTGAAATCCTTGCTGATCTTAAACACACACAAAAAGAAGCTTACAAGAAGTGGAAGATTGGACAAATGACCAGGGAGGAGTATAAAAATATTGCTCAGGCATGCAGGAATGAAATCAGGAAGGCCAAATCACACTTGGAGTTGCAGCTAGCAAGAGATGTTAAGAGTAACAAGAAAGGTTTCTTCAGGTATGTTAACAAGAAGAAAGTCAAGGAAAGTGTGGGCCCCTTACCGAATGAGGGAGGCAACCTAGTGACAGAGGATGTCGAAAAAGCGAATGTACTCAATGCTTTTTTTGCCTCTGTCTTCATGAACAAGGTCAGCTCCCAGACTGCTGCACTGGGCAGCACAGTATGGGGAGGAGGTGACCAGCCCTCTGAGGAGAAAGAAGTGGTTTGGGACTATTTAGAAAAGTTAGACGAGCACAAGTCCATGGGGCCTGATGCGCTGCATCCGAGGGTGCTAAAGGAGTTAGTGGGTGTGATTGCAGAGTCATTGGCCATTATCTTTGAAAACTCATGGTGAGCCGGGGAGGTCCCGGATGACTGGAAAAAGGCTAATGTAGTGCCCATCTTTAAAAAAGGGAAGAAGGAGGATCCGGGGAACTACAGGCCAGTCAGCCTCACCTCAGTCCCTGGAAAAATCATGGAGCAGGTCCTCAAGGAATCAATTCTGAAGCACTTAGAGGAGAGGAAAGTGATCAGGAACAGTCAGCATGGATTCACCAAGGGCAAGTCATGCCTGACTAACCTAATTGCCTACTATGACAAGATAACTGGCTCTGTGGATGAGGGGAAAGCAGTGGACGTGTTATTCCTTGACTTTAGTAAAGCTTTTGATACAGTCTCCCACAGTATTCTTGCCGGCAAGTTAAAGAAGTATGGGCTGGATGAATGGACTATAAGTTGGATAGAAAGCTGGCTAGATCGTCGGGCTCAACGGGTAGTGATCAATGGCTCCATGTCTAGTTGGTAGCCAGGATCAAGCGGAGTGCCCCAAGGGTCGGCCTTGGGGCCGGTTTTGTTCAATAGCTTCATTAATGATCTAGAGGATGGCATGGACTGCACCCTAAGCAAGTTTGCAGATGACACTAAACTGGGAGGACTGGTAGATACACTGGAGGGAGGGATAGCATACAGAGGGACCTAGACAAATTAGAGGATTGGGCCAAAAGAAATCTGATGAGGTTCAACAAGAAAAAGTGCAGAGTCCTGCACTTAGGACGGAAGAATCCCATGCACTGCTACAGACTAGGGACTGAATGGCTAGGCAGCAGTTCTGCAGAAAAGGACCTAGGGATTACAGTGGACGAGAAGCTGGATATGAGTCAACAGTGTGCCCTTGTTGCCAAGAAGGCTAACGGCATTTTGGGCTGTATAAGTAGGAGCATTGCCAGCAGATCGAGGAACGTGATCATTCCCCTCTATTCAACATTGGTGAAGCCTCATCTAGTACTGTGTCCAGTTTTGGGCCCCACACTACAAGAAGGATGTGGAAAAATTGGAAAGAGTCCAGCAGAGGGCAACAGAAATGATTAGGGGGCTGGAGCACATGACTTATGAGGAGAGGCTGAGGGGACTGGGATTGTTTAGTC